ACCGGCTTTAAAGGGTTAACTTGAGAATACAGAGTATCCACCAGCAACTCCTAATCTGAGGCAGCATTAGATGAGTATTACAGACGTATGTTCTGTAGTCTCTGGAAGGAAGCTTACCTCTAGTTTCTGGGCACGCTGGTTGTTGAGGGGTTCCAGAGGGAAACTGAGGTTGTTGTCATCGGCCAGCTGTCGCAGGTCAAAGTAGTACTTGGCGTAGACGCTGGCCGGCACATTGATGTTAAATTGCAGAAGTTCCAGGAAGTGGCGCTCCATCTCATTCCTAGAGATCAGGAAGACACCTTAGGGTTATTCCCAACAGTCAAAACCTGGGACGTAATTTGGACAGTAGGGTATGAGTGTGTGTAAAAAATTAGAGCCCATTTTTTCCCTAGGAAAGATCAGCCTAGTCAACCAGTCTCAAAGTTAAAAAAATAATTGCATTTTACATAATTTGTGACATGGTAGGAGACATTTGAAAAGATTTATCAGAATCACACTTGTTTTTGCAACCTGCTTTTTGAAAGTTCAAGCGGCTGGTTATGGATAGAGGTGGGCGTACCGATTCAAATATTAATAGTACTGTTGCTATTACGTCTGACGTATAGCAACAGACGTTGCTATACGTCTGTAATACTCATCTAATGCTGCCTCAGTTGCTACTTTGTGTCGCTTAAGTTCAGTATGTATCCACTGAATTGAGTTTTTTTTAATGTAATATAATAAAGAAAAACAAAACGTATTAACCATGACAAATGTCTATTTTTTGTGTTGACTATCATGTTTATGTTATTTGTAGACTATAGCACATCTAAACAGCAGAAGCTGACAGAAGTGCTTTAAAGACAGACACATTTAAAATTCATGAAAAACTTCAGTGTGTTGTTGTTTTGTCTTTTTTAATTATTGTGAAAACTGAAAATCAGTTATTTAGTGATCATTACAATTATGTTGAGAATTCACAAACATGATGATGATTCATCTCAGAACTCATGACACGGTCTCTTCATTACATAAGCTGCTTTTATTGTTTAAAAATATTGGCACTGGCCCTGGGCAGCATGGTAGCACGGTGGTTAGCACTGTTGCCGCACAGCAAGAAGGTCCCGAGTTCAATTCCACCATCATGCCTGCATGTTCTCCCCGGGTACTCCGGCTTCCTCCCACCATCCAAAGACATGCAGCTTATGGCGATGGGTTAATTGATTAATCCAAATTGCCCATAG